TGTGCTGTATATAACATTATATAGATACATTTATCAAATGTATAGACAGATAAAATTATACAATATTTTTATTACATTGCAAAGTTTCTAGAATGTTAGTTACCTATTTGCTCTTCTGATAAGCAGTATTATTTTTGATAGAGCGATAATAAGACTCAGGCTTCCTGTGGTATGTAAACAGAGGTGGGTGATGGTTTTGGGGGGGACATTCTCATATGACTTTTAAGACTCTTTCAACCAATAACTTCTAGGCTATGAAGGTGAATAAAATGTCTTGATTCCTCTCATTCTGCTCTTGATCCCCAGAATGGAGGCAGATCAAATGTCATTGGTTCTGGAGTTAAAGATTTTCCTCTGGGATTGAGTCCCAGAGCTACCGTTTTGAAAGATTCTAGCCATTTCTTTTCACTTGGAAAAGGCTGATAAACTTGTCTACCATTTCAAATTCTGAACTTTAAGATGAAATGGATCAACCAATTAAAATGAAAAGAAAAAGTTCAATGTTAAAGTGTTGAAGGTAGATAAGACTTGTAGAACTTTACAATCTGCTTATGTACAGGGTTTGCAAATGCAGTTTTCCACAGTTCCACACTGAATATTTATAAAATCATGTCCTTAGGGAAACCTGATGTGAAAAGAGATGGTAAGTGATGGTGAGGCTTTTATAGACTGGTCATAGACCAAAGACATAAAGTGGTGATTCAGAGAGCAGGTGTATTTTGTGTTGCTCATGCCATTTTTTTTTTTCAATCAAGTGTCACCAACATTTAAAAATCAGATGTTTATAAATATAAACATATTATAAAATATGTTTTATAATAAAATATGTTTCTGCTTCTCCTGAAATTCAGAAAAATCTTTCTATACAGGGTCCACGTTCCTTTATCTCAGTAAGAGAAGATCTGGCCAGTGGCTTGCCTCTTCTGGTGCGACACATCTTTGGGTATCCCAACTTGGTCCCTTCTCTCATTTATGTTATTTGTGGTTTCCCTTGATCCCCCCATCTGCAGATGAGGCTGTGATTCAGGAGAAGGGTGTCCAGGTACCTCTTCGCCCCTTGATGGCAGCTGGAGCACAGGCAATATGAATCTTGTTAAGAGCCTCTGTACCCTGCCAGGTTTTCTATCACATAGAACTCAGGGAATCAACTCCCTTGTCCTTTCCATTCCACACCTTCCCACCTCCTTGTTTTTTCCTCTTCCAAATATGATTTTTTTTTTTTAGTGAAAAAGGTTGCTGTTAATAATTCCTTTGTGATAACATATATAATTGGATCTATTGTGGGTTTATTAGTTTCCTGGGACTACTGTCCCAAAGAACCTCACACTGGATGGCTTAGAATAAAATTGACTTTCTCACGACTCCTGAGGCCAGAAATCAGTAATCCAGGGATCAGCAAGAATGGCTCTTTATTGAGGTTCTGAGGGACAATCCACTCCACGCCTTTCTCCCAGGTCCCAGTATCTACGTCCATCCTTGGAGCACCCTGGCTTGTAGATCTCTCACTCCAGTCAGTCTTCAGTCATCACATGGCATTATTGCTGTGAATCTGTTTTTTTCTTCTTATAAAGATCCCTATTGGATTGAGACCCCACCCTAAGGCTTTCCTCTTAACTTGATCATCTCTGCAAAGGTCCTATTTCCAAACAAAGTCACAGTCACAGGTACAAAGGGTTAGGGCTTCAACATTTCCTTTGGGAGAATACACTTCCATCTAAACATTTGGGCTAGCTTTCTGACATATTAAATAGAAGTACTAATAGTATATGTTAGATATAACTCTTGTGAGCACTAAATGACCAAGATGTCTGGGACCTTACACAGGGTCTGCTGCATAGCTTGAACTCAATAAAATCATTCTTAGACTTCCACACTTTTCCCTTCTCCTCTTTCCCCTCTCAGGTACGGAGGACTCTGGCTTTGTCATTTATGTTTACTCAGGATATAAGCATGAAACAAACAAAAACCCATATATGGCTAATTTCAACCTTCCTGACAATTTAATACATGATTTGCAGTGTATTTATTTATTTATTTATTTATTTTTTAAATAATAAATTTTATTTTTATATTCCCCCATACAATTGCAAAAGCCCCATTCTGACCCCAATCCTTCCCTTCCCACCCCCCACCCCCCAAAAAGTGTCTCTGGTTCATAGTTTTTTGTTGATTTTGATTTTCACTTTCTTTTTTTTTTTTTTTTTTTAAATATTAAATTTTATTTTTATATTCCCCCATACAATTGCAACGCCCCATTCTGACCCCAATCCTCCCCCCCGCCCCCCACCCCCAAAAAAGTGTCTCTGGTTCATAGTTTTTTGTTGATTTTGATTTTCACTTTCTTATATTCATTTTCCTGGTCCCTTATTTAAGTTTTCTAGATTCCTGCTATGAGTGAGACCATCCGGTATTTTTCTTTTTCTTTTTGGCTTATTTCGCTGAGCATGATCCCTTCCAGCGCCATCCATGTTGCTGCAAATTGCATGTGTTTATCTTTTTTGAATGCTGAGTAATATTCCATGGTATATATGTACCACATCTTCTTGATCCAGTCATCTATTTTTGGGCATTTGGGTTGTTTCCAAAGCTTAGCTATATAAACAGTGCTGCTATAAACATAGGGGTGCAGGTGCTCTTTGGAATTGATGTTTCTGTGTCCTTTGGGTAAATACCTAGGAGTGGAATTGCTGGATCATATGGAAGCTCTATGTTTAGTAGGTCCAGAAATCTCCACACAGCTCTCCATAGTGGTTGGACCAGTTTGCACTCCACCAACAGTGCACAAGAGTTCCTTTTTCTCCACACCCTCGCCAACATTTGTTGTTGCTAGTTTTTTTAATATGTGCCATTCTCACTGGTGTGAGATGGTATCTCATGGTAGTTTTGATTTGCATTCCCTGATGACAAGTGATGTTGAACTTTTCATATGCTGTTGGCCATTTGCATTTCCTCTTCAGAGAAGTTTCTTTTTGGCTCTTCTGCCCATTTTTTGACTGGATTATTTTCTTTGTTGTTGCTGAGTCTCATCAGCTCTTTGCAGATTTTTGTGATCAGTCCTTATCATTAGTGTTGGGTGCAAAAATGTTCTCCCAGTTGGTGGGTTTCTCTTTGTTTTTGTTATTGTCTCTTTTGCTGTGCAGAAGCTCTTTAATTTGATGTAGTCCAGCTGTTTATCTTTCTCTTCACTATCACTGCTTTGGGTGATGTGTCTGTAAAGATGTCTTTGATGTGCAAATCCCGTAGTGTTTCGCCTATATTTCTTCTATATTTTTATGGTTTCAGGTCTTATGTCTAGTTCTTTAATCCATTTTGAGTTGATTTTTGTGTATGGTGTGAGGTAGTGGTCAAGCTTCATTCTTTTGCATGTAGCGACCAGTTTTCCCAGCACCATTTATTGAACAAACTTTCTTTGCTCCAATGCATAGTCTTTGCTCCTTTGTCAAAGATTAGTTGACCATAAATCTGTGGGTTTATTTCTGGATTTTCTTTTAGATTCCATTGGTCTGTATGTCTGTTCTTGTTCCAATACCATGCAGTTTTGATGATTATGGCTTTGTAGTAGAGTCTGAAGTCTGGGAGTGTGATGCCTCCATTCCCTTCTTTTTTTTTCAGGAGAGCTTTGGCTATTCGGGGTTTTTTTGATTCCATATGAATTTCATCAATAATTGTTTATTTCTTTGAAGAATGACATTGAAATTTTGATTGGAATAGCATTGAATCTGTATATTGCTTTTGGTAGGATGGCCATTTTAATAATGTTTATTCTTCCAATCCATGAGCAGGGGTTGTCTTTCCATTTCTTTGTGTCTTCTTCTATTTCTTTTAACAGTGTTTTATAGTTTTCTTTGTATAGGTCCTTTACCTCTTTTGTTAGATTTATTCCAAATATTTGATTTTTTTTTGTTTTGATAATAAAAGGGATGGTTTTTTTGATTTCTTCTTCTTCACATTTGTTGTTTGTGTATAGGAAGGCTACTGACTTTTGCGTGTTGATTTTGTATCCTGCCACTTTACTGAACTGACTGATGAGTTGAATTAGTTTTTCTGTGGAGATTTTGGGGTTCTCTATGTATATTATCATATCATCTGCAAATAGTGATAGTTTGACTTCTTCTTTTCCTATTTGGATTCCTTGGATGTCTTTCTCTTGTCTTATTGCTCTGGCTAGGACTTCCAGTATTATATTGAAAAGCAGTGGTGAGAGTGGACATCCTTGTCTTGTTCCAGATCTTAATGGAATTGCTTTCAGCTTTTCACCATTGAGAATGATACTGGCTGTTGGCTTGTCATAGATGGCCTTTATGATGTTGAGGTATGTTCCTTGTATCCCAAGAATTTCAAGGGCTTTTATCATGAATGGGTGTTGCACTTTGTCGAAAGCTTTCTCAGCATCTATTGATATTATCATATGGTTTTTATATTTCTTTTTGTTGATGTGTTGGATAACGTTGATTGATTTTCGGATGTTAAACCATCCTTGTGTCCCTGGAATGAATCCAACTTGGTCGTGGTGAATTATCTTATGGATACATTGTTGGATTCTGATAGCTAAAATTTTATTGAGGATTTTTGCATCAGTGTTCATTAGGGAGATTGGCCTGTAGTTTTCCTTTTTTGTGTTGTCCTTATTCGGTTTTGGTATTAGTGTAATATTGGCTTCATAGAACGTGTTTGGTATTGTCCCTTCCTTCTCAATTTTTTGGAAGAGTTTGTGAAGGATAGGCACTAATTCGTCTCTGAATGTTTGGTAGAATTCATTTGTAAATCCATCAGGCCCTGGGCTTTTGTTTTTGGGGAGGTTTTTGATTACCATTTCAATTTCGCTAATTGTAATTGGTCTGTTTAGGTGTTCTATTTCTTCTTTATCTAGCTTTGGGTGATTGTAGAGTTGTAGGAATTTGTCCATCTCCTCTAGATTGTTGAACTTGTTTCCATATAACTGTTCATAGTAGTTACTGATGCAGTGTATTCATTTAAACTAATGTGTTTACCTTTTACAGTCATTCCAGAAAGGTTTCAGACTCCTATGACATATGGAAAACTGCTTTCTACTCGCCGTTATATTGTCCCCAGATCTCCCGCTGTAAGTGCAGCTTCTTTGGAAGAAGAAAGCTGTGGAGAAGCCATAACTGTTGAGAAGCTCCCGCCTACACCACCCAGTGAATGTGATGAGAAATCACAGACCTTCACTGCTACACAGAAAGTTAATAAGAGAGCCAGGGAAGCAGTCAAACAGGCCTGGAACTCTACATTTATGGAAAAGCAAAAGATAAGGAAGCCTACTGCATCCCACACTCTAAACCCAGTGCATCTGGAAGCTGCAGGCACACACATTAACAGACAGGAGAAATTTCCAAACAAGTCTTCTTCTAGCAATTCCAAGAGCAAGTCTGTCCTGAGTAGTAAGTATCACATGTGGTTCCTAACTCTTTTTTCCCCCTCTTTTCAATTGGTTACATTTTATTTTAAAATACAATAAAAACAACAAAGTTATTGATTCCATGGCAGGTCCTGTTTTAGAAAGTTCTAGAAGAACTGCATTCATCAGTCCTTAATGGAAATCTACTTGTTGCCAGGTACTGTACTGGAGGAAAGGACAAGTCTGAGTTGACAGCAAGCAATTTGATGATTCAGGTGTTGCACCAAATAATAATGACATGATGATTATTGTCGTTATCATTTTAATCTTTCATTTATAAATTCTCACTGTGTGCTAGACACTGCTAAACAATTTTATAATTTTATATCATTGTATGAATCATCATATAACACTCTTAGGTAGATAATATCCACATTTTAAAGGTATATTATGTAGTGTCTCAAGATTGTATAATATTAGGAATGAAAAAATGTAAGTAGATAGGCCCAAAGAGATGAGCTTTGGAACCAAGGAGATCTGGTAGTCTCCCATTTCAGCCCAATAGCCTTGATCAAGTTCCCTAAATGTTGTTTCAAACTAGTATTTTCAATTGCAAATTAATGTCAATTACTATATTGAAAAGAAGATTGATATAAATAGTTTCTCAAACATAGTAGGGACTGAATGTGGCTATGATGATGGTGGCTGTGTTTATGGTGTCAATTTTCAAGCTCCAGAGAGAAAAATGTAAGGAAAGGATGCATATTACAAATGTTCTATCAATTGTCGTATACAAGAAGGATATGTAGTCCTTTTTTTAAAAGGGTAATTTTTTTATTTAAAAGTAAGTGGATCAAAAAAAGTGATATGTATACACAATGGAATACTATTTAACTATAAAAATGGTGAACTCTTGCCATTTGCAACAACAAGGATGAAACTGGAGGGAATCATGCTAAACAAAATAAGTCAGATGGAGAAAATACAAATAACAGATGGTTTCACTTACATGTGGTATGCAGCAAAACAGGACAAAACCAAATGAATAGCAAACCCGAGAAACCTGACTATAGAATTGAGGTCACCAGAGTGGGAGGGGTAGGAAAAATTGTGGAGAATGCCCAATATATGATGTTGAAGGGCTATGGGTATCTTGGTGGTAGGTATGGTGTGGTCATACACATATCTGAAGGTGTATGACCCTGTACCTCTAAATCATATATGGCGTTGTAAGCCAATGTTACCTCAATTAGAACAAAAGATGATTTGGAGGGTAGCTTTCATTCCAAAGGTATATATAGTTTGTTGAGATTGACCAATAGAAGAAAGATTTTGAAACAACACAAAGAACTTTCTTTGAACCAGAAGGGAATGTACTACTTATAGTAGATAGACATGGTAAAGTAGGTGCTGGAAGACTTTCTATCAAAGATGCTAAGTTAGAGATTCCTTCATTTCTGGCACATTGGCTTGATGATGGGATGCTGATCATGCTGGTTGGTTAACTGTTTTTCGAGTATTATGCTTAAGGCAGTGGCTAAAATCTCAACATACATCTTCAAATTTGATCCACAGTGTCACCCACTGAGCTTGGAACTGTTTGTCCATGCTTTAGATCCAGAATCTCAGAGCCATAGAGATTGTGCAATTTTAGGGCAGGAACCATCCTACTCCTTGAAGACAGTTTGTTATGAAATGCAATATTATTGAATTGCTTTCAGGGAAGGAATTCCTATTTGACTTAAGACAGAGGGCAGCATATTATGTCTATTATCATAGTTTGTTGTTCCAAATTCTAGAGCCACACCCATATTCTCTGATGGAATCTTCTTCTTGCACTGATTATTGATGGCAATGAATGGGTCATCTGCCAGATCTGGATATTCAAATCAACAATTATTAAGTATCTAGTTTTCACAAAGCAATGTGTTTGGCCCTCTGAAAGCTCTTATTTACCTGGAGATATAATTCTCCAGGTAATAATTCTCACATTGGCTATATCAGATTCACTAAAATTTTTTCACTGCTTGACTTTGGATTGGTGAGACTATAGTGGGAGAACCCAGTACCTACCAGGCAAAGAGCAGTATGTGATCGACTAAATTGATTGTCCTAGATGTGGCCTGGCTGCACCCATTCTTAGGAAGTTACTGTGCATTTTAAGTCTTTTACAGGTTTGGAATTTTTGAATAATCCTGTAGGTAGTTCCAAATAGTTTACACATCTGAAAGCTCTTTCAAAACTTACTTATAGAAAGACTAGGAGTGGTTTGATGGTGGGTGTGGTGAGGTGACATACATCTGGGGAGGTGTGAACCTGTTCCTCTAAATCAAATACAGTGTTGGAAACCAATGTTACCTCAAAAAATACTAAAACTTGTAGATAGTGACTTAAGGGAATGTAAATGGTCTTAATTCACTACTGAAGAATGAAACTTTAACTTGTGTAGGAAGAATTTGTAAGGTTAAAAACTTCACTACTGTATGTATATATGACATACACATGCATCTATGTGACCTGTATTTTGACAGTATTGTAAAATAATTACTTGTCTTCACATGACAAAATGGTTTAGGTGAGTAAAGAAAGTCAAAATCAAATCTATTGTTAGTGTACAGGTATGTGTTGTGTAAACCCAAATTTTAATTCACTGATTGTTTTAATTTTCAATGGCTTGAAATTTCTAATAAAGCTCATGAAGTCATCCCCTCTGAGGTTTTGGGTCATCAGTTGTAAACCTAAATGAATTTGGATCCCTTTTTGCAAACAAAATTTCCATTCACGAATGTTTCCCAAATTTGACCTACTTTAGTCACCAATCCTATTTCCCTCTTTTTGGAAGTTTCAAACAGTTTTTCTCAACAGAAAAAAATTTATGAGAATCCTGAAAAAATTATTTGGGGGAGAGATGTTCTTTCAAACAACAGGAAAAGACTAGAAAGCACTTTATTTTCATAAAGGAATATGGGGAAGCACATGAGAATGACATCAGGGAAGGGTTGATTTTCTCTCTGTGCCTCATAAAAGTCGGTTTCTCAGACATCCAGTGAGAGAAACCAGGAGCGATTTCTGTCAGTCCTGGTGGGGTGGGGGTGGGGTTAGGGGTTGAGGGTGGGGTTGGGAGTTGGGGGGCTGCGCCTGGTACACTTCCTGACCACTCCTACCCTTTTTTTGCTTTCCAGGTCCCACCTCGAGACCCTACACTGCCATTGGCCTATGTAGGAGAAGCCAGATTCCATTAGCCCCTCGCAGCTTCTCCTGGAGTTCCTCTGAGCCCAAGCTGGAGGAAAGGGTGGCAGCCAAAGTAGGTGCTTGGGCACACCCAGATTTCCAGAGCCAGCGCCTGGGCACACCCAGAAGTCCCATCCGAAGGGGCGCAGTTGCCATGGCACCGGAGATGCACTGCAGGCATCCTCAGCCCGGGGCAAAAAGGGGGCCCGTAGCAGCCGCCTCCTTCCAGAGCAATCTGGCAGAAGCGCCCCTTCCTCGGCTGGCCGGTGCTCCCAACCATCTCCCCTCCAAGAGGTTAACCAAGGTTTGCTCTCCACCCCCTCCGCCCACCCCAGCGTTTCCATACGCTCAGTTCACAGGCCCCTCCCAGGCCGGGGGTGAATGCTCACTTACATTCACCGCTGCGAGGGAATTGTTCCCCCAGCGCTGCCCATCCTCAAATCAATGCCTGCCCAGAACAACAGAGAGGGCCTCAGATGTACCGGTTTCCACAGAACCTTTGTTAGGCTTTTGTCAAGCAGTTTTGAACCTAATAAATAATGTCAAAAGTCTCTATCGCAGCCAAAAATGTTCCTTTTGAAGCATTTCTAATAGTATTTTTGTTCTGCGGTGTCTCCCAGTGTCACAAAGAATTTGCGCCTGACAATGGGGATGGGGTACATCGCGTGCCACTTCGCAATGTGCCCACAGGGATTGGGAGCAGCCCCCTTTGTTTTGCTTTTGCAGGTAAACGGTTTCACTTGCCAACTTGGGCTTTGGTTTAAGGATGTTTTCTAAGGACCTTTTGAATTTCTAAACAGGTTTGGAAAACATAATTGCATGTCTGTAATTTAATCGTTAAGATGAAATTTGATTACTCCTGATGTGCCTAGGGGAATTCTTCAGGCAGTAGGAAGGTTTTTATGTCAGAAACCTGAACCTGGATCCTTGTCGGAGGCCCTGAAACCCTTGGAACTAAGTTTAGTGCAAAAGAGAGACCAAATTCTCAGACTCTTACTAGAAAAGACTGGAGCAGCTCAGGGAATGTTTTATCAAAACGGTCATTTTAGGCATTATTTTTAAATTTTAGTGAAGTTCAACATAGCAGCATTTCACAGTGTTGCAATGCAGAGACTGACCTTTTAAAATGATTTTATGGGTTTAGTTTTTTTTTTTTAATGTAGCGTTTTTGCAACATGGAGAGACACACAAATAATGTGAGCAGTACACCCTTATGAAGTTTTGTGCTCAGATTCTTTGTCATTGTCCATAGACTTGGATTGTTAAGGATTCTGAGATTTCCTATTGCAATTCAAATATATCCATATACATATACATGGGTTTATAGTATACACTACCTACATTTAAAATTTACTGTTAGTTCTAAAGTCCAGCTAAAGTCTCAAAGTTTCAATAGCAATAAAATTTTATATCAAGTAACCATTTAGTATTTAAGAATCTGTTTAGTCCTTTGAGGATGTTTTGATTTCTTTGAGTAATAGCATTCTCTAGGAGAAATAACTGTAAAGAAAAAAGCTAACCCCAAACCTTAGAACTTTCTTTATTCCAGATTGACATGGTCTTATAGTAACTGTTTTGACTTTATTTATCAATAATTTTTTATTTACATGATTTTGTCATAAGAAAACATACAGGTTATGATGGATGGTTGCTGTGGTTTCCTGAGGGTATAATGGTAACTGCTCACCAGAGTTCACATGACAATAGTAAGTTCAACTTTGTGCCATTTGGCTGAAGAGAACTATGTGGGCAGAGTCATGGGATTTACATACAATTTTGATTCAGGAATATGTTTGCTACTTAATCATGAGTTTGCACAACTGATTCTTTTTTTTTCAGGTCAAAACCTCGTTGCTTTAAGTGATTTTAATACAAGTAATCAAAAGTTTTTTATGGTCAATTTCAGGAGCAGAAACTGTTTTTGATATTGGAAAGGTATTCCCCTCACCTGTGCAAGTGCAAAGTAGTAAATTTTTTTTAAAAAGATTTATTTATTTATGCATGCAAGAACTGTGGTGTAGGCCAGAGGTGTGGGGGATAAGGATTTACCAGAGATAGAGGGGGAAGTAGTATAGATATATCTACTGAAATACACTGCTGAGGGGAGCAGCAGGAGAGACCTGAGAAGTCTGCTGCGCCATGTGGGTCAGCAACCTGGCAGTGACTTGAACTCATACTGCAGTGGCTGGCGATAGCTTGATGGTGCTGAGACTTAACCCCTTGTGCCACCAGGGAGGCCCAAATGGTAAATTTATTAAAAATACAATACAGAAGAAATTCTGTTCAGAATTGAGACCCCCCTCCCCAAAAAAAAGATGTAAAGTAGGTGGTCTACCATAGGCAAAAGTGTGTATTTTAAAGTGTGTTCCATTTGGAACACTAGTGCTAGAAAGATGCTTTGTGCGAATGAGTCTGGATAAATATGTCTGAGAGATGAGACCCAACCTGCTCCTTCTTAAGAAAGTTATAGTGACACAGTAAGGACCCTGTGACATCCCACGATAAAAGAAATCCAGTTAACCCAATATTTTCCGATTTTATTTAATCAAGGAACCCTGATATGTGTGCATGTTTGTGTGTCTGCACGGATATCTATTTTTTACAAATAACACCTGTCAATACTAGTGTCCTGTAGAACACAGTTGAGAAAACATTGCTCAAAGTTCTATTTTTAAATATAACAAAATCTGGTGAGGCTGGAGGGTGAAAAATTAGGATTTCTTTTCAAAGAAGGAAGGAACGAACCAGAGCTAAGGAAGTAGCCCTTCAGAAATACCTCCGGGAACCTGTTGTTCCTTGGAAGAATGTCACCGGCTGTGTCTGGTTATTTTTCCTTCTGGGGGGCACGTGGTCAAGAGAAGGTCTTTTGGCCCAGCCCTGATCATGCTTAGATAGTGATGATTGAGGAGCACTTCCAACTTGACTGTCATGGTGCCTGAGATCTCCCGAATGACGGAGACTTTTGTACTAGATCATAGACCCCAATGCACTAAGGCCAAGATAATTAAACCATGCCTATGCCACGATTTATGAATACAGTGCTGGATTCACGTCATCACTGAAGATGGATTAATATTAGGAAATGAATAGTATGTGCTTGTGTATAGCACTGTCACTGAGCAATAGAACAAGGTTCCCTGGCATGAAATCATTATTTCATGGGTTCTGAATTACAACCTGCTTTTATTCCTTGGGGGTATGTGATCTGACTTATGGAACATTTATTACCATGTACTGTGTGTCTTCTAGAGAAGATAATATGCCACTTCAAGGAAAAAAATTTTTTTTGAAAATTGCATTGAAAAATAGATATTAGTCAATTGAAAAAATTGCTGCATTCAAGAAGGTTAATATTTAAGATAATGTCTGGTGAATAATATTTACAAGTCTGGAATCTTTTTATAATATGTAAAATATTTAATCATAATGACAGATAGCATTTATTGAATGTGTTATGCATTAAGGACTGCTCTAAGTGTTCAGCATGCTTTTGTTCAGTTCTCATAATAGCTTACTAATTAGTAATAGATTATTAGTGTAGTTGCTATTATCTCAATTTCATAAGTGAGGATTTATTCTTAATGACAATAAGACACATATGCATAAGACACATAAGACAATAAGACACATACATTGTACATATACACACAGGTATGTAAGAACTTTAAAGACTATCATATATTTTATAAAATTATAAAATTTATATATTTTAAAATTTAATTTCATGTATGAAATTATTTAAAACATTATTAAAGCTAGTGTATATGTACATATGTGTTTATATTCCACCTGTACAGATAACATCTATTAATCATTTTTTTGTACCATAATCTTAAGTGAGGTAAGTATAGAAACTACTCCCTGATCCTTCTGAGAGTGGGAACTGGTAATTGTGGAATGATGATATATAACATGTATGAAGTCATTAAAGATCAAAGTGGGGTCAGATTATTAGGACATAGTTCTTTGGTTTGAAACAGCATCCTTCTTATGAATGAAGGCTCAGGAACTAAGGGGAGGGAAGGTTTTCTGAAGATGGTGGCATTCTCAAGGTGGTAGGAGCTGCCCAACAGACCTGTGAAAGGGAAGGGGAGAGAGTAAGGTAGAGCTAAAGGGCTGGATCCAAGCACCGACAGCTTTGTCATGGCTGGAATTTATTTACTGTTAGATTGGCATAACATGCTTTGTTTACTGCAAAGGCTAATTTGGATGCCAAGTTTGCTATCACATCAAAGTCTTTTGAAAAGGAAGAGCAGTATACAACTGCAAATCATTCTTTTATGACTAATATCAACAATCATTGGCATAAATATTATCCATTTTTATGCAGGACTAATTTATGGCTTACAGATCCAATTGCACCAACAGTGATGTTCTTTTTGGTGAGTACATGATCACGTCCCTCTCTGAGAAGATTTTCTAAGCCAGATTCTTTGCCTTCATCACAGTGCCACAATGTAAGTTTTACCCCATTTTCTGAGGAAACTGAAACACAGACGCAAAAAAATTTTTCCAAATAATGATTGCCTGTAACACACATTCTCACCAACATTCTGTACTTACAAACATATGCGGTCAATAATTTAACAGCCTATTCCATTCAGAATCTCCAATTTAGTTCACCTCAGTTCAGGGTGCCCTATGCCATACCTACCATCCTACCATCTACCACGTAATCTTTTAGCTCAACTCTCTGTGAAAATTAAGACAATGTTTTCATAACTCCAAAGTGATGTTGAGGATTCTAATTCATGCACAGACCCAGGAAAGCAATTGTCATCAAGGGAAGACTTGACATTGAACATTGAGGAAAATGTTCCAGAATTCTTTTTTTTAAATTTTTATCAGGGTAATATTATAACACTGTATATGATTTAGGGGGATAGGTTCACATATTCTCAAAATTCTTAAGGTGTGTGGCATCTCTCTTGCATAGTCCTTTTGTGAAATGCTATTCCCCACATCAATACTTTTCCACAAGCTTTGCCCACATCTAACCTCCTGCTACAGGTCCCTCGTTCTCCAACCTATGTGCCCCTCCTCTAAGGGACTCTAGCTGGTTTTGTATGTCAGTGATAATGGGATCGATTGTAAAGTATTTATTGAGTTCTTACTATCCTGGGTAATATTTGTGAGATATTTGAGAACAGGACACTATCTGTTTTGTTGACAGGCTCAACCAGGATAAGACTTAGATTTCATTCTCTCTCTCTCTCTCTCTCTCTCTCTCTCGCTCACTCTTTCTTTCTCTCTTTTACTGAGCACCCAGTACATGCTGGACACATCGCTGGGGATATAGCAATGAAGAACCATGTTGTTCAAGAAAAACCTTGCTAGAAGACCTGAAATAATTTCAGTCCATTAACCATAATTCTGAAATCCAAAATCTCTGAAAATTGCAAATTCTTTTATAACTCATTCTGTATCGGTTATGACCTTAATTGAAGTGAGTTTAAGATAACCTCATCTCCTTGAGTATTTTGATGAAGATGTATTAATGTATTTGACTATGGGGTATTACCGTGGGCTTCCATCCATAGTGTACATCATTAATA